CAGGGTTTCACATCCTTCACCGGACAACAGCATCCATATGTTGAATTATGGACCTGGAGCTGATGAGGTTCAAAAAAATATTGGGTGTCCAGGGAACCACGGAGTGCAATGTGGGCCTGGAGGGTTGAAGAGGGAAGAAAGAAAGAAGAAGAAGACAGAGAAAGTGGGAGGGGAGCAGGTATTTATACCCTGGGTGGTGACTTAAGTCGATGGGGAAACTGCGGTGGGTGACGGTTTTTGACCCAAAAGGAAAGGTGCCTGTTATCAGGAAGGTGCCGTACAAGAGTCACATGTATACCTGCATATGTACATGGATGTAGGTATGGCTAAAGCCGAGTACAAGCATATCTGAAATCCACAAAATCAGAGTCTATCAAGTCAAGATAAGGCAAGACAACGCCTAATATGAAAGAGACGAGAGAATATCAAAATAGAAAAATCGTAGAGAAAAACCGATTGATGTACCGTCAAGTATTTATCTCATTTGGATACGAAAATATGAAGAAGCAAGAAAACCACAGAACCTGTAGAACCCCACGCTTTAAGGACGAAATCGTTCTAGTTGAAGACATGAAAGATAAACTCAAATTCACGAAACTCATTTGATCATATCACGTACCCCTCCAGCTCCTATCATTGAAGAAGAAAAACCAGCGTAAATCCACAATAAACTCCCCCATGGTTGTGTCAGACAGTGCATCCCCCCTGATATAAACCCGAACAAGATCGCAGATCAATCACCACTGCTTGCGCTGACCCAGCGGCGAATAAGGCTTCTTATTCCGAGCCTCCTTAGCTGAGCCTCGGATAGAATGACTGAAGGTAAGGCAATTATTATCCTCGGCCATGATGTCGAGATCGCTTGGGGTCGACGGCACCTGGAAGCCCTGACCAGCTTCAGGGTAAGCGCGGTAATCTCCAGGGTCATAATCCGATTCATGCTGAGATCCAACGTGTGAAGACTGAGACACAGACAGAGCGGGAGACTGTAGTCGAGATTGGGAGTACGATGACTCGTCGTCGGTGAGTAGGTCAGAGTTCGAGGAAACGAAAGAGGCCTTGCGAGCACGTACAGCTGCAGGCGCAGCTTGGGATACAAATTTGCGCGCGGCCCTCGAAGGGGTCTGCAAAGTCGTTTTGGTAGAACCCTGGGGGGCAGTTGTGGAAGGATGCGTGTGAGAAATTCCGGCGAAAATCTGGTCTCCAGTCATGCCACCAAGAGCCGCTGGGGGAGCAGGGTCGGGAGCAGCATCGTAGACCATTGCAGCAAATATTTGATCGGCATCCAGAGCAGTAGCTTCAGGAGCTGTAGTATCAGAAGACTTGCCAATCCGTTGGTTTGAATCCATGGCGTTAGCGTTCTCAGACCGGGTTTCCAAATTTTCCCAATCAAGTAATGCAGATCGAGAGTTTTTCTTTGGTGTCGGTTTCGAAGCCCGATGATTGTGTGGCGGAAAGAGTGAGGGAGTGAAATCAGTCACGGGTTGTATGTCGGGGGGGAAGATAGGAACCGACGGCCACTCGTTTGAGACTTTCACTATAAGCTGAACTAGGGAATTATGCGAAAGAGATGACAGATACGCCCGTCGTTCTTGTTCTGAATAATATTTTCCACCAACTTGAGATTCAGGCACAGGCTGCTTCTTCGGTCGTCCAACTTTTTTCACTTTCGTTGCAGTCTTCTTTTGAGATTTGGTCTGGGCTGTCTGACGTTGCTCGGGCTTACACTTGATGCAAAACCAATTCATCTCCGGTATTTCGATAACCTCATTATCGATGTTCGGATTGTGACATTTCTGGTGCCATGGAGCATCACATGAGTCACATAGAACAATTAGATTGTTCGAGGGGCTGTGTCCTCGATAGCAGCCGGTGCAAACTATATTCACCTGGCGATTCAAACGCTTCCGCTTTTTTGCTGCCGCTTTGACAGGCCGCCCTTTTATTACCACAGGCTCAGCTTGTCTAGCAGCTGGCTGGGTAATATGACGGCCAGATCGAGTTCGATTCGAAGCCAGGGTAGTGCTGGCATTTTGATGACCCGTTTCCGTAGCCCCGGTTGTTGTCCAACCTGCCTCTTCCTGAGGCACTGCTGGTGATTCCCAACTTTCCCAGGGTATATTGTCAGCCACAGGCTCTAGGTGGGATGATAGTGGTTGTATCCCTTCAGAGATGCCCTCATGGTCAAATATGTTGCCCTCATGGACGTTCTGGGGGCGCCCCGGGTTGATATCGGGGGCGGGGAGATCCATGAATGCTGCTGAAACCCTCATGGTGAATTTCCTTGCAAAAGATGGTTTCAGAAAGAGGACTAGGCAACTTCTTTTGGAAAACTAGCTGAGCTTTGGTGTGAAAGAAGAGAACAAAGCAGCAGATGATAACGAGGGAAAAAGGCACTATTTGTGTCCTTCTAGGGCAGTGCCAGTCTTCCAGCCTGATGCAGATCACAATAGACACTAGGTTTTTTGCTGGACAGGCAATTAAACATAGTTGGCTTCTCTCAATTCTTCAAGTAGAAGTAGGGTTGGAGCGAAGTCGTCGTATGAAAGACCTTTGTATATGGGTCACGTGATATCCCAATGCAACCTTAAATGGCTCTCTCCAGTCATTGACTGACGTATTTCGCCTAATTAAGGGTCCTTATAAATCGAAACGTAAATTTTGATGATTGTATCTATTATAAAGACTGTTTTGTTTACTTCCAATGCGGATCCAGTGCAAAGTTGTCTTGTCATTTATTAGATCATATCATAGCATGCACAGTACCACCTCGGCATTACCTACATGTAGGTAAGATATAACATGTTCGAGGAAAACTACAGTGCTCTAATTATTTAGCTCGATAGGAGTACGTAAATTTATTCCAAGCAAACGTTTCACAAACAGGTGTCACTTAAGGGTTCCCAAGTTGGAACCATTCTAATTGTGTGCATGAATCCATTGGAAGTAAATTTTGGATCTAAATAAATATTTAATAGGCTCCGGCTAATACTAGATTATGAAGAAAATAATTGACGCACAGAGAAAAGAAGGACGGTTGGTTCTTCATGAAGTAAGAATTGCCATATATATAGTACTGCGAGCTAAATGCAAGGTCCATTTATAAATATATAAATAAAGTAAATAAGGATGATAATTGTATCATTCCCCCCCCCCCTGATATCTCTTTTTTGATCCCCTTTCCGTCTAAACCACAATCAGCAGGATACCTGGCGAAAAGTACATTTCAATGCTTGATGATATGCTCAAAGAAAGTCCAAGAGTCTATGGGATGTAAGAAAGATGCCCTAAAAGGACTCAAAGACGATAGAAGAGCCGAGGGGCCATTTGCAATGGCTGTGATCTCTAATTTGCTTATATACAGACCTCGGGAGATGTCGTTCATGATTTTCATAAATAATCCGAGGTTCAGGACACGACTCCCTCATCCTTCAAGCGAGCGATATCCGCCTCCCCATAATTGAGGACAGTACCCAAGATCTCATCCGTGTGCTGGCCTAAAGTAGGAGGAGGCGTGCGCACACCCGGTGTCGCTTCGGAGTACTTGATAGGCGTGTTGACCATCTTGATGGGACCACATGCAGGGTGGTCAACTTCCGTTACCATGCCTCGTGCCAAAACTGTTGGTAGGGTCAGTACCGCTTTTATCACATGCAACAAAAAAGGCAGACTTACCATGCTTATGGTTCAGGGTTCCCTGAATGTCGTTGACAGCCGCATAGGGCATACCGCTGCCCTCAAAGATATCCAACCACTCCTGAGTGGTCTTCTGTATAGTGGTACTTTCAATAATGTCGTCGATTTCTGCCCGATGCTGCACTCGGTCACTGTTAGTGACAAAGCGGGCATCCGTCTTCAATTCTGAGAAGCCCAGTCGATCACACAACACGCCAAAAAGCCTATCATTGCCACCGCCGAAGAGAATATCTCCGTCGCTGGTCTTGTAGCTCCGGTAGGGTACAATAGATGCTGGGAGGTGTGTCAGTTTGGTTACTATTATACTCGACACAAGAGATTGTTCGCTGCTTACGATGTGCAGTCCCCCAACGGCCGGAATCCTTTTGCCCGCTGATAAGCGCAGAGCTAGCCAGGTTCGATAGCGTAGCGACCTGGCAATCACTCAAACAGGCATCGATATGTTGACCTCTACCTGTCCGACCCCGAGCAATCAAAGCTGCCATGATGGCATTTGATGTGTATAGTCCGGTGGTGAGATCGGTAACAGCAACACCAACTTTTACTGGCGCACCATCCCGAGCACCGGTGATGTGCATCAATCCCATCTCGGCTTCCACCATGACGTCGTAACCTGCACGGTTGCTATATGGGCCTGTCTGGCCATATCCGGTGATACTGGCATAGATCAATTTTGGGTTGATTTCCCGCAAGGTTTCATAGTCCATGCCATATTTTTTGAGTCCCCCGGGGAGATAGTTCTCGACTAGGACATCGCATTCTTTTGCAAGCTTGTGTAGAATCTCGACACCGGATTTGTGTTGGAAGGATAGACCGAGGGATTTCTTATTTCGATTGACCTATATCCATAATTAGTGCACTGAGAATTTGTTTGATAACTTCACGAGAAGATTCGTACAGCAAGGTAGTAGGCACTCTCGCCAGGGCCCTCTCTAGAAGCATCTTCGTACTTCGCATACGGCGGACCCCAAGCACGAGTATCGTCGCCTCGCACAGGATGTTCGACTTTGATAACATCCGCTCTATATTTCGTCTTGTTAACATCATACATATCAACTGTTAGAGCTGTTACATAGCCCTGAAGCTCAACACATACCCCAAATCGCCTAGAATTTGGGTACAATAGGGCTACGGCAAGTTAGCTTGGACTGTAAACACACAATAGCACCTCGAGAGATGTACTTACACCAGCTAAAACGCGTGTCATATCAAGCACCCGTATACCAGCCAAAGGCAGCGACCCATCGATTGAAGCTGTACTAGAGTAGCTCCGTCCTGGCACCCTGCGCCGCAAGGCATTGCTACCCCAGGACAAGCCCGATCGACGGGCAACAACCTGGAACCTGAGCGCGACTGACATGATAATATATACGGAGAGCGCAGCAAAACTAAAGAAATGAAGCTCAAACAAAAGCTCAAATAATAAGAATATCCCCCATTAAATGGGATCTGGGGAAACCGGCGAATCTCCGCCAAAACGCCGACGCCGACACCGCTCGGAGGGGCCAATGCCGAGGCCACACCGCGGGGGCATTTTCCTTGTAGATCATCAACCGCAGCTATGTTCACAGGTCTTGTTGAGACGATTGGGAGTGAGTATATCTTTTTATTATGAAGTGAGGTCAATGTTTAATGTGGTTTTACTAGCTGTCACGGCCTTGGAGCCCATCGATACCTCGTCGAGCGGGGGCGGGGGAACGTCGCTCACCATCTCCGACTGTGAGGAGATCCTCACCGACGCGCACTTGGGCGATAGTATTGCAGTGAATGGTATTTTGCTCTTTGGTTATCTATAATACATGGGATATTGTCTAAAAGTGGGCTTAAGGAACATGTCTTACGGTCACTGCATTCGATAAGACCTGGTTTAAGGTTGGCTGTGCGCCGGAGACGCTGCGACGCACAAACCTGGGTTCTTTACAGGCGAATTCACACGTGAACCTCGAGCGCGCCGTTTCGGCCGATACTAGGATGGGAGGACACTTCGTGCAGGGTCATGTCGATACCGTTGCGGAGATTCTGTCTATCACGCCGGATGGAAACTCGTTGGTGTTCCGGCTGCAGCCGCGCGATAGAAATATTCTGCGCTATATTGTGGAAAAGGGCTACGTGACCCTCGATGGTGCTAGCTTGACTATCACCAAGGTCGTCGATGGACAGGACGGATACTGGGAGGTTATGCTTATTGCCTACACGCAGGGCAAGGTGGTCACCGCAGCGAAAAAGCCAGGTGACCTTGTCAACGTTGAGATTGATATCGTGGGCAAGTATGTTGAGAAGAGCGTGCAGGGATACTTTGCTGGTACCTCCGGTGGAGATTTCGCCATCTTGGAGAAGATGGTGAACAGGATCGTCGATGAAAGGCTCAAGAAATAGATCAGAGTTACAAATAACGAATCCCCGCCACTCAAAGCCATTGAAATATTCAGTGGAGGCGAGGCAAAATATATCATCCTTGGCTTTCCTAAAATGAACTAATCGGGACATTGGGGAAACGAATTTCCCCGTTGATTGTAGCAAATGAAAGACATACAGCAGAGCGAGCAAATGGATACAAATAAGTCCCCGTCAAGTTCTGAAAACCCCATTCTGTTCCCGTGGAGTTTGTCCCCGTCATCAAGACCGGATGTTTAATCCTCCCCATGTAGCCCTTTTCCGCAACATATGTACCTAGGTAGTTTAGGGATACTAGCGCTCGTAGTGAAGTTACGTTGGATCTAAGGATGAAGGATGAATTTGATTTGCAAGACTGCATTATATGAAGACAAAACCTGAAAAACGCCTAGATGCCTATCGGGTATGTGACAGTGACAGAAATTTTGATCCATTTGACATGGATATAAGACGTGAAGACGGGGGCCATTTTTGATACAGTCCACCAGTGTGATAGACAAGTCAACGCGAGTTGAATTCTCGTTTGTTCAATCGCAAGGGTTGGCTCATCCATCAAGCGACCAAGTAGAAGGGTTGGAAAAGGTGTGGTATGATGACTTCGAACAGCCACTTACTCCTCCATAGACTCGTCGGAATCGACGTCAGAGTCGTCATCTGCTGCTTCACCCTCGCCCTCAGCGTCCTTGTCAAAGTCATCATCGCTGAGCCAATCTTCATCATCCATTTCCTCATCCTCATCCTCCTCGGCCACCTCTTTGCCACCTCTAGCCTTGGCTTTCTCCTGCTTCTTCCGCTCAATGTTCTCCTTCTGCAGCTTCTTTCTCTGCTCCTTCTCCTTCCTCCGAACGTCCCAGCTCTGGTCCATTTTCCGCATCTCCTTCTCAGATTTCTTAATGAAGTCGTGCCACATGATCTTGCCATCGCAAACCCCATCCTCAACCTTCATCAAGCGAAGCCGCAAGCGAGGACCCAGCTCTACAAGCTTTACAGCCCGCTTCTCAACGCCGGGGGTATGGGCTGGCTTATCCTGGCCCTTCTCTGCAGCCTTTTGGCGCTGCATTTCCCGCTTGTTCAGGACTCGGCGGGTCGTGCTCTCTGCAACTTCCACTTCGGCATCGGTGTCTAGCTCGGTTTCACTGGCTGATGTGTAGCCCGCAGCAGAGGGGTCGAGCAGGTAATCGGC